AAGATATGAGTTCTGATACTACAAAATCTTCATAGTTTCAATATTTAATATGGGGCTTAGATCAGAAAGTTGATTTGATAAATCCTCAATTGTTCTCATAGTCATTGCTTACTAATGAGAACTGAAAGGTTGATCTCTATCTTGATCTATCTTTTATTATAATCAGAATTGACACAGGAATTCTCATGATAATCTAACGTTTCAGGACACAGGACTTGTTGCTGTTATTCTTGAAATTAAAGCATCTATTGGTGGATTGTTGGTGGTGCCATTGGATAAGCAACAGGGATCATATATGGAGGAAGCATTACAGGAGTTCCAACGGCGGAAGCCATATGACCCGGAGCTGCAACTGGGTGTCCAAGAGGGACTTCATACATGCCTAAATCGTGCAAATGTTCCCGAGCACTGTGCTTAGATGGTGGTCCCATTGCACCTGTACCTGATGGGTTTGTATTAGGCTGTTGTTGGCCAATAATTGGAGCATGGGGAGAAGATGTATCTCCGCTGTTCACGCTAGTAATGTCGTGGATGCTTGACCTCCTCCTGTCTCGGTTCATTGAGTTTAAGCGGATAAAGTACTTCTGAGCATGGCTTGCCACCTGAGTAGGTGTTCTTGATATGACAAAGTTTCTGGAGATGCTCCTCCAATCTCCTTTCCCAAACTTGTCTAAACCAAGCAGGAATAACCTGGTAACTTAAATCTGGTTAATTAGTATCTTCTCTAACTACTAATTAATTAAGTACTGACACTCTGCTCCTTATTCAGAAGTGAAACTGTACCGTAAGATATGGAAAGTTCCCAGTAGATCATACCTGTGCTCTTCTTCTGTCCAGGGAATCCCTTTCTTCCTCTCTTGGTCTGACCTTGAACCTCCTTTCCCTGTATGACCACCAGATTCATGCCTCGATGTGAAGAACCCTCTTCCATAACCAGAACACAATCTCTTATCTGAAGCAGCGGCCCCAGAAAAGGCATGAAAATCATTGGCTGAAGGTATTGCATAGCTAGGAAGTGGGACCGTACCGGCCTCTATTGCACTAACATCCTCTTCTAGTGTGTTATAGTGTTGCTTCAATTCTTCAAGACTTTTGGTAGGAACCATTGAAGCCATATCCTCCCATTTTTGCTCCTCTGAGTTGTCCTCAACCCAGTATATTGCAATGGCATTTTCAAATGCCTTTTCCTCTTCTCTACTCCAAGTGGCTGCACCCGTCATGGCTTCCAAATTTCCAGTCTTCAAAAGTTGGCAATGTTGAGTCTGTCAATGGGATTCAATTTTGAAATTTTTGTTATGTTCAAGATGTTCAGTAGAGGAAGGTAGAGAAGGGCAAGCGTAGGATAGTGGAGTGAAGGTATGGGAAGGTTAAAGGAGTGGGGGGTGGGGTATAGAACTATGAATCAATGAGAGGACCACTTTGGGTAACTGATTGAGGAGATTGTGCCATTCTTCGTATCCCAACATACAAAACTACGGAAAACACCCTCCCTCCCTCAATATACATCAACACATGATGAGTGTTTATATATATATATATATATATATATGCCGGATCTCTAATCATAGAGGGATGCAAATCAAAATCAAAATCAAAATCAAAATCAAAGATGATTAGGTGAGGCCAAAAGTATTTTTGAAAAATTTCCAATACTGCACGCACCTTTGGCCTGTTCTTTTTTTCCTTTTAGAAAATAAATTCATTCATCTACAATAAAAAATTGTAAAAGTTACAAACTAACTCATAAAATATAATACATTAGAGTTACTACAATATCTAACTCTAAAAATATAAAACATTTAATTAGACATATATGATAATAGAGCAATATAATAGTTCCATGAATATTATAACTAAATTTGAATCTTGACCACAAGTTAATGTAATACATTATAAGCTTATAACCAAAAAATAAAAAAGTAAATATTATTGAAATAAGTTACTACTAAAAATATTCTAAAGCAATATAACATACACTAACTACATCCCTTGTTTTAAAATTTTAATAAAAAAGATATAAAATAATGTAATAATATCTATACAAACTATATCTAGATGAATGAACTTCCACATAAGCCGCCTTGAAAGAGAGGCAAGAACTCTTGAATTAAAACTTAGAAAAGTAAAACAAAATTATCTTTCTTTTTTTTTTAAAAAAAAAAAAGGGAAAAAAACAAAAATCAAAAGAGAAAAACGAAGAGAAAATGGGAAAAGGGGGAGGAAAAGAGCGACGGGTAGGACCCCGCTCCCCTCTAAATTCTAAGGCTAGCGGGGGACCTTTGGCTTACTCTCAAAGGTTATTTTTTGTATTGGAAGTAATAAATAAAAAAAATACCCCAAAAATATCAGCCTCAACTTATGAGGCAGCAGTTTATTTGTTTCTAAACAAAAAGTATTTACAAATTCACGGATGAGGTGATGATTACCAATATTATTGTTAAAGTCACTAATTTAATTTGTAATTTTATTAATTTATTTTTTAAAAATGATTAATTATAATATTTTAAAATATTTATTTATAAGTTAATTTTAACTTATTAAATAATAAATATTAATTATTTTTTAATTATTAATTTTTTTAATAATTAAATTAAAATAACAAATTAACAATTTTAATATCACTAACTAAATTAACTGTAGCCATGGCCATTGCCGAAATTCACCTCCTAACTTCACAATTTACAAAAATCAGCCCATATTTGACGTGTGTCTGATATCATCTTTTCGTTTGTTGACATTAGCGCCGACATGTAAAATAATTCCTACGTCAGTCAAGTTAGACGGAATGGTGACATCAGCAAACGAATTCTGATATCATACACACATCAAATATATATGGGCTAATCGACGCAAGTCTTTTGTTTTTTTTTGGGTAAAAAACTAATCTTCATAAGTCAGTGAAGTTGAAGGGTGGATTTGCACGTGCTGTTACTAAAACGAAGCATATTGATGCAATTTAAAGTGTAAAATATAAAACTGTAACTAAAATACCTTTAAGATTTCTTTTATTAGGGGAAAAACCAAATAATTTTTGTGATAAGGGAAGAAACCAAATACAGTTACTTTTTTTGTTTTAAAATAATTATTATTTTTTATTTTAAATTTGTTATTATTATTTTTAAGATAGAGAAATATTTTTTAATTATTTTATTATTATTTATTTATTTTGATTAATTATCTTATCATAAAAAATTTTGATTTTATTTTTTGACTTTTTTTAATAATAATATAAGTAAATACATAAATTTCCTTAAATCTTTAATTTAGAATAAAAAATTAAAATGATAATTATTTTAAGACAAAGAAAAATAATTTTTGATAGATTGTATTAGGATATCATGGTAAGGGGAAGAAACCAAACACGGTTAATGCTTAGTAAATTGTGTTAGGACACCATGGTAAAGGAATTGACAGTATAATCCCATGAACAAAATTGAAGGAGCCCACATACTAAAACCTAAGATGTCTTGAGAATAAATTGGCATTTGAACAAACTTAGATGCCATCTTCCTTCCATTAATTTTCAGGTGTTTTGATAATCCCTTTGGGGAATAGGCATTGAAATATGGTTGTGGTGGTCTTCTGGTCCAATTTTCATCTTGTCTCACAATGGGGACAGGATTTTTGTCTGGCTGATTTGTGACACTTGATGTTTAATATTTAAATATCATTAATCAATCTTCTCTATGTATTAGTTTATTAGGTATATTTAATTAATTTCATAAGTAATTTTGCGTTTTTTTGTTGGTCAATCTAAAAATCTACAACCACAAATACTAAAGGTTATTTTATTTTTACTTTTAAGTTTTTCTAACATATGTCTAAAGATTCAACTAATGCACTTTTGGTCATTTAGCTATATAGAGAAATCCTAAAAGTTTAACTAATGCACTTTTAGTCATTAAGCCATATTGGAATATAAAAAAGTTATATTAATTTTAATGCCAATGCCATCTATATTATTTTAATTAATTAATTATTAAAATTAAAATTGGAACTTTTATTTTCTCTAAGTAACTTAATGGCTAAAAAATGTATGAATTACAACTACTTAAAACATAAAAAACTTTCCTTCCCACCTACTCCATTGCGCCAGCCTCATCCAATAGACATGTCTCCTCCTTACTCAAAAGTTCAATATCACCAAATTCTACCCGTTCATAATTAATACTTACTAAAATTAAGCCTCAAAGATTGAAAAAGAAAAATTAATACTGTAATTATGAGAATTACAGTGGGATCTTCCTTCATTGATCCCACCCTACATGCTAGTAGCTTATGCGCCTTAAAAAAAAAAAAAAAATTCTTTAGAATGAAAGCAACATGGAATTTCAAACTTATCCCTTCATAAAAACAAAAAATAACACCCATGTAATCTATCCAATCAGTTTGGAGGTTTGCAAACAAGTTATCTCAGAGATGCTTGGTGACAGGGGGATTCAAGAGACAAGTTTCTGATTTGCACACATCTGGAAAAAAAGGCATAGTCAAAATAAAGAAACTTGCAGGAAACGATTGTACAGAAAATAAAGTTGTTTGAGGGCACCAGTCTCACCTAGATGAAGACTGCCCAAAGTCGCCGAGATTGTCCAGTGAAATGGAGGATGCTACAAGTAAAATTACAGGACATGCCAGTCTTCAATAGGATGACAAGAAGATCATGGATGCCAAAGGCAAACTGATTTTTAGAAGTGCTTTGCATTATCTAGGTGTTGAAGGTGCAACCCCAACTTGTATCGAGGGGCGGCCAGGAAGTTTTGTCAGTTCAGGACTTCCCTGTAGAAGAGCTGCCCTTTGTGGGTTTAAAAGCAGAAGTTGCTGCATGTCCTTTGGAAGCACATTGAAGACTGCCTGCAGGTCGACTTTTAGTTTCTGGCACATTGCTGCTGAATCTGCAGCAGCCTTTCCAGATTGCTGCAACTGAAGATTGCATTCAGGTAGAAAGTTAACTATACTGTCACAGATGCTTTATGCACTTAACATGAGAATATATGAATTACCAATCATAAGGATTGCTTGGGGCATGAATGTATCAAATATGATATTTGAACAGAATGAGGTGTAATATGGAGTAATATGCATATGAAAACTTCCCTATTCTACCCTCTTATTCTTCGCTAGACTAGCATGATCATTGATGTCATATTTAACAGCTCATCCAAGTAAGCAACAATAGAGATTAGGAAAAAACAATGTCAACTGTCTTCAAGAATGTTATCTTAGTAAAAGTAGAATTACTTGTATATCTCCAAGTAGATGTCTCTCAATAGCATTGAAGGAATCAACAACTTCCAACTCAGACATCTTAGATATAAGCTGATGTATGTCAGTCTTCATTCTTGCCTGCCTCCATAACCTATGTTGTTCATGTTCAGCAACAGCACGCCTCCTTTGAAACCATGGCAAAAAGTTCGGTCCCCTAAGAAATCGCCTGAAAACAAAGATAAAGACATTCTACTCAAAACAGATAATTGATAATTGAATTGAATTTGGGCAGCAAGCAGAAGAGGGCAGAACCAATATGAAGAATACAAAATGTGACAATCATCACCATTTGATAAAATCTGGGGAGGAAAAAAACAATGCAACAGACAATAAATTACCTGTATAACTCCAGCCAATTCGATTTCATACGCTTTGAAAGAAACTTGCCAACACCTCTTGCTGCTAAACTTGAAAGAAATTCATTAGCATTAAACGGAGGGAGAGGAGGAGGATCAACAAATGGGGAAGATCCTTCAGAAGGAGTGGTAGCCCTTAAATATGGGCCAAAGGGAGCCAAAAAGTTGGTAGTTAGCTCCAAGAAATGTCGACGCAATATCTCATTATTAACAACTGACATAGACTCCTCGACCCTAGGTGACATCCCAGCATCAATAAGCCTATTCAAAATAGAAGTGTCTGGCTTGGTTGTAGGAGCATAACTGCTCCATATGGCCTCCTTATGTTCAGTCATGAGACAAAGAGGCCCATCTCTCCTCAACTTCACAGCACTCAACAAACTTGAAGGAGAAAACTTCTTCAACGAAAGCTGTTGGAGGCCAAATCCTTCTGATTGACCAGAAAGTCTGCCAGTTGATGACCTACTAGAAAGGCCAACCCGAGTTGAATTAGATGCAGGGCTTCCAACTGATACAATGTGGGGGATATAACGAAGAGATTTAAGGAAAAAGAGGTTTGTTACACCCAAAACCATAGGTGGAAATGGGTCACCTTCCCGAAGTGAGTTCAAATAAGCAAATTCTGGATCGTGGATGGTGAAATATGGCCTAAAATCAACACTGCAAAGTAGTGGTGCAACTAAACTAACAAGACTTGCAACAGCCTCACAACATTGAGGAGGCGTTGGTGCAATTATAAGGAGGGGCTCCCCAATAAGTAATAACTCCCACAACAACCAAAGTTGCAACAAAAGCCCTCTAAAAGTTCCAAAAAGATCTGATTCATGGAATAAACCCTGTGGTACTGACTGATTGTTGGGAAGAAGAGGAGCCATAGAAGAAGCAGACTCTTCAAATGACAATCCACTTTCCAAGGGCAAGCTGTGAGCAGGTGGCAAGTTGACTTTCAGCATTGCATTCCCAATAGGGAGCTCCATCAGCTTTCCAGGTACTGGAGCAGGCCACGTGGAGACATAAGAAGCAATATGCTCTATAGCTTTTTTCCCGATGTCAAAGTACAAAGGACCCATGATTTGTAGCAAAGGTCTAAACACACTTGAGTAAGGACCATGAGACAATATTACTATAGATTTTTGTTCCCCACCTCTCTTTAGCCTCTCATCATGCCTTTGCCTATTAAACACAAATCCATATAAGTATTTTGAACCTTTGTTGGTTACACCACTTTTTGATCTTCTAATAACTTTCTCCTCTTTGGGTTTTGAAGACACATCTCTGTTACCAATTTCTGTTATCTCAGATGGAATTACAGTGCCCTGTTGAGGATTTTTCTGTCGTTGAATTCGGAAGAAGAAGATGCAATCATGAATGCTTGAACGGTTCTGGTGCTGGGAAACAGAATCTGGAAAGGAACTAAAAGCAACCTCAAGTTCCTCATCTTGAGTAAGGCAACCAGGAGGATAACACTCTTCTATGAGCTGACCTTGTTCAAGATCAAATCTAATTATGCAAAAGGCAACAACCCAACGCTGCAGAGATTCAGGATCCGGTTTTAGACTAAGCTCTTGCTTGACAGAAAATGAAGGAGATCGACTCATTTTTGTGTTATTAAAGAACCTCCTTCATCCATCAGAAAGGCCAATTCTCTTCATCTTCGGCCACCATTTAGCCTACTATAATTTCTTTAGAAGATAACCCATTCTAAAGGCCAATTAGTTGAACAATTAGCTACTTTACCACTCAAATTCCAGTGGTCTCTCCTCTTACTGTAGTGAGAAAATCAAATCCTAGCAAAGAAACCCAAAAAATTATATTGACAATTAGGAAAAAGCAACAAAACTGCGACGTTCTTGTTAGTTGTTTGTTTATTAAATGAGAAAATGAATCCCAAATTATTAGAATTGTAATCTTAGCATTCGTCTTCACTCCAAAGTTTTCCACTTGTAATTGGCTTAGTTTTAGTACCTAAATTCTTTCTATAATCCTTTCCCATGCATATGGAAAAAAAAAAAAAATCAATAACTAGAAAAGAAATAAAAAGCAAACAAATGGAATTCAACAACCAACATTCAAAGAAGATCTATAAATTAAATGAGCATATTGAACTTACCGAAACCGAAGAACCCAGATACAGTCTTGCAAAACCTGTTGTGGATCCATGAGAAACTAGCACCCAGTTGCCCAAAACGAAATGGGTATCAATCCAACTGCTTAAAAGACTGGAGAAAATGTGAGATTCAATGGAGGTTGAGATGTGTCTCCCCTGAAGCTACAAGGATTCGAGGGATTGTGAGGAAAAGCATCTACAACCGTAAATAATAAATGGTTACAATAGCAAAATCCTGTGCGATTTTATAGAGAAATTTGTGCTGAGAGTCTGTAATCAATACGAACTTTGCCCAAACCGTGAAGGAAAAAAGAAAAACAGTTCCTACGCTTTTTTCTTCAAGCTGGAAATAGTTTAATTGTTTTCAGTCTGGACTGCACTTTTAGTTTGCAGTCCAAACACCAAAATTATTATATAAATTTATCATTTTACCGTTTGAATTATAAAAAAATATGGTTAGAAGTAAATAGAAAGAACACCTCCTTTACCCAAAGACAAAAAATAAGAACACCTCCAATTTCAACGAACTTACCCTTCTTCTAAAAGTTGATATTTTCGAAAAGTTGATATTTTACCACCAACTATTTAAATGGAAAAGTTGGTATTGAAATTTGAATGAGTTTTTTTGTTATTTAATTCAATTTGATTTTATATTAATTAAAATTTAATATAATTTTTAAATATTAAAAAATTTATATTTTACTATTAAAACTGTAAAATAATTTTTTTGTCATCGTGGTACCATCTATAAAGAGTTAGG